CTCGGTAAACCAAGGAGATGGTCGAGATCCACGTCGGGTCAGAGGCCGCAAAGGCACGACTCGGTCCAATGCTGCGGCGGCAGTTGTCTCCCAGGCCGCCGCCTGATTTTCCGCCGAGTCGTGGACTAGATCCTCCGGATATGGCCCAAGCTCCATCAGGAACCTCTCAGGGTCCATCAGTCGCCTGGGACGGAACCATTTAAATTAAGGGCCCAACGTGCGCCCGGCCTTGATTTCATTACACACGTCCCGGTGTATTTAAAAGAAGCAGGATCACTTCTCTGCCTTTTTGTATTACGAGCTAACGTTCTTCTCGCTGGATCCTACTATGTCAGCATGAGAATCCACGCCACTCCGCCCATTGTAGCTTGACCAGTAAAACCCAATAGGTTAACAAACGGGAATTCAGGCAACGTGAGGGGGAAATCATACAACCGGAGTATATATTTAGGATTTCTAATTCGCTTTCAGTAATTGTCTTGCCTTAAATGACATGTAAGTATTGGTTTGATTACTTTAGCAGTAACCTATACTTTAGGTCAGGGGTATCCAAACTTGGCAATTTTAAGATTTACGGACTTCAGCACCCAGAATTTCCCAGTCATCATGGAGACTGGCCGGCTGGGGAATTCTAGGAGTTGAAATCTACAAGTCTTAAAGTTGCCAAGGTTGGACACCCCTGCTTTAGATGTTGCTTCTTCCATGTATGTGGTCTGGAGCTGTTTTTCCCATTGCTCCTAAAACTGGCTTCATAATAAAAACCTTATGTCAAAGCATCCGTAATCTACAGGGCATCACTTGTCTGTATCTTGGGAGGGGGAGAGGAAGGGGGATACTATCTTTAGCTACCACAGCTTTCTTATTTGAGCAATAAGATTTGGGAAATTCAAATAAATAAGAACTGTAATAAGTTGAATAATTTATTACTCTTGTTTACATCTACTTTTAGGTTTCCTTCAAAGACACACCACTCAGCCCTTAAGAAATGTCCCATTTGATAAAAACACAACATAAAGATTGAAGTGACCTTCACAAAACAGCCACAAAATTGCTAGAACTTATTTGAATATCCCTAGAATAATGGGACTATCAAATTAAATACACAACAAATGAGTTAAATTGGTTCTTCTTCAGACATAGCTGTTACTATTACATGTAGAATGCTAGCTTGGTGCAGTGATTAAAGCACCACGTAGAAACTCAGAGACTCAGAGTTCTAGTCTCCCCTTAGGAACAAAGCTAGCAGGATGACTTTGGGCTAGTCACTGTCTCTCAGCTCTAGGAATAAGGTGGCAACAGTAAAATACTTCTGCAATCTTGCCAAGAAAATTGCAGGAACTAGTCCAGGTAGTTCCCAAGAGGCAAGACTAAAACTCAAAGGTGCGCACATGCACGTACAAACACACATTATAATATTTAGTATAACAACTACTTGTATAAGATCGTCTGGGAGCCACATTGGGGCCATAGATTGCCCACCCTAATAATAGGAGTCACAGTGTCACAGTTTTCACCATATATCTCTATGAGTCTTCTGATTATTATTTTTTTACCTCCCCTCTTTATGGGCTCACTAATTTTACTTTTCTGTTATCTAGTGTTCATCAGTATTCCCGCAGCCCAAATGCAATCCAGACATTCCTCTACTTATGACCACAGTTGAAGCCAACATTTCCACTGCTGAGCAAGACATTTAAGTAAATTTTGCCCCATTTTATGACCTTTCTTGCCACACTGGTTAAGTGAATCACTGCACTTGTTAAGTTAGTAACACAGCTGTTAATCTGTGAATCTGGCTTTCCCACTGACTTTGCTTGTCAGAAGATCGCAAAAGGTGATCACATGATCCAGGGACACTGCAACCATCATAAGTACATGCCAGTTGCCAAGTGTCTGACTTTTGATCATGTGACCATGGGGATGCTGCAAGAATCGTAAGTGAAAAAGCGGTCATAAGTTACTTTTTTTCAGTGCTGTTGTAACTTCGAATCATCATTAAATAACGGGTTGTAAGTTAAGGACTATCTGTAGCCGTATTGATGGGATTCACAAAGTGGGATGTAAAGTTAAAAGCTCACTACCCTCTGCCTTAATAGTACATTTTTCTACTCTCTCTGGACTAACCTATTCAAGCTATTGGGGAAATTGTCATCCGTAAGAGGCCGTTTCTGCCTTACTGCCAAGAGTGAGTTAAAATAGATTTTTTTTTCAAGTCTTTCAAAACCAACTTTGCTGAAGGTAAACAGGAAAAAGACCAGAGGCTAAATCAAACAAAACTCAATAACTGCAGGTAAGATGAATGCGTTTTAGCAGAGATGAACAGATCGGATCATGAGGACAAGGCCTTGTCCCCGGGTTGCATCCGATCTCAGGGCATTTTTTTTTCTCCCTCCCTTACTTTTTGTCAATTGAAATTAATGGGGCAGTAAATAGGAGAGTGAAGAAACTCCAAATGCTAAAATCACTCTTGGGAAGCTATTTCAGCTTACTGCCTTGAAGGAAAATTATTGATCCGTCTCATCATTCAAATGCTGAACCATCATTTAGATGGAGTTTCCTCCAGGAAGACAGCTGACCAAGGCTAGGGCTATTAAAAC